AGAGTTTGGGAGGGCAATCCAAGAGTGTTTGTTCTGGGCAAGGCCACACTTTGCTGATCTCAACAGTTCTCCAAAGACCTTGGGCCCATTAGCTACTGCCACAGTAAAAGCGCCTCTGTCTCCAACAGTGAGGAAAGCAAAACACCGGCCCTGGGAAGGCCATCTTCTTGCCCGGTGACACTGGATGTGACATTGGTTCCCTAGTAACCTGCTCTAGCAACGGGGACTTTGACTCCTGCAGTGGTAGCCGGAGGTCACCTGTCAGCTGGCTAAGTCACCTGCCCCTATTACCCACTCATATCAAGGTATGGCCTCAACTAAATCTGGACTTGACTCTTTCCATCTCCCTTACCTGCAACAATAGTGTGATCGATTTGGATTATGATGCGTCCAGATTAGTTTATTAAAAGACATTAACCTGGGCGCACCTGGGTGGCTCAGTTGGTTAAGCATCTGACTTAACTTTCCCTGTTACTCAATTTTCAGGCCCCGTGTCAGGCTCCGTGCTGACAGCTCAGAGCCTGGAGCCTGCCTCAGATTCTCTTTCTCCTCTCTCTCTGCCCCTCCCTCACTTGTGTTCTCACCCTCTCTCAGAAATAAATGAAAACATTTTAAAAAGACATTACCCTGCATCCTATTGGCTTAGGAAATTCCTAAGCGGGCCTGTGTTAAATACACTGCTCAGTCTCTGAGCACAATTTGCTTCCCCAAACACCCTTGCAGTGACCTCATGGGATCCTCCAGGAAGGGGCTTGGACCTGCTGTTTGAAACACCACTATGAGAGAACGGGGGTCATCAATCCTGCCTTCCCATAGCTGCTTATTCCCCAGAACGTCCTGCCAGTGTTATCTTACACCGGCCCCAGGGCCAGGGACTTACAAGAAAGGAAATCAGCCAGCCTTATCTGTCCGCAGTGGGCCCAAACACACGCGTGCACCCGGCCCACGTTGTACATGCGATGTCCCGCGTCACATCCCCTCGTGAGAACAGCAGAGAGTAGCTACGCCTGTGGAGTTTGCCAGCCGCGGGGCAAGGCGGGGGCGGGGCGACAACTCTCACTGGGGGCCCTTTCTAGTGCCTCTCAAGTATCTGGGGCTCCTCACTGTTCCAGGCTCAAGACACAAGGCCTCAAGGAAGAGCCACATCAGTGTGATGGGGGGGGAGGCCTTCCTGGGGGAGGCTACCCTGGGGAGAGAGGGTACGTTCCTGAGGCGTGGGTTTAATATGATAAAAGGGTCTTAACTCTTCTGTGTTAATATAAAACAAAACCATATGTGACTGAGAAGCTCCAGAAGGAGAAGAAAGTTGGGAAATCAGAAAAGGACGTGGGGTTCAGAGGAAAATGAAGTCACGAATCAAATCTCCAACTGGCGTGTGCTATGCTACGAAGAGAAACGGCAAACCCTCCCTCCACCGCCTGCAGACGGAGACCCCGGACAGGCCCAAAGCCGGGAAGCCGGGATCTGGCCTCCCCTCCCCTTTGTATCTGGTGCTCCCTGAAGGGGCTGGGCTCCAGCTTGGGCACCGCAGCAGTTGAAGAGTGACATGGGGACAGTGGAGTAGGTCCCAGTGAAAGGAGACAGAAACTATCAGTGACCCCTTACAGCATTCGTGTCAATGTGTTTACAGTCTGACTATATGTGCTTGATGCATGAAAGTGAATGGAAGGGTTATTTTTCTTGCCCTGTGCTTCAATGTGCTTGTGATCAGAAGGTACACAGGTCTTGTTTTAATCTAATCTCGTGTCCTAATTTAGTTCCTGGAACTTTTTTTAAAATTATATTTTTAAGATTAAAAAAGTTTATTTCTATGAAAGAGAGAGAGTGAGAGCATCATGTGAGTGAGTGGGGGAGGGACGGAGAGAGAGAATCTCAAGCAAGCTCCAAAGTGTCAATGCAGAATCCAACATGGGGCTCGACCCCACGAACTGCAAGACTGTGACCCGAGCCAAAATCAAAAGCCAGATGTTCAACCGACTAAGCCACCCAGGCGCCTCTAGTTTCGTGAATCTTAATCAACCTTCCCTTCATCGAGACCTCACAAAGGACTATTACATTGATGACGATAAGCGGATTAGACCTAAAGAGCCAGAGGCAGCAACTACTCCAGCCTTCAGGGCTTCCTTGAGTGTCCACTGGCCACAGCTTGAAGCTCAGTGATGTTTGCTGTTCCCTGAGGCAAAGTTTCCTTCAAAAGCATTTCTGTTTCCAGCCCATCGTTTGTGACCTAAAAGCCAACCTGCCCTCCCTAATCATAAAAGGGCCCAACAGCAAGGGAAATTATTACAGGGATCTGAGGACAAACTTTCATAATAGAAGACTAGTTTGTCCCTTTGGACCCAACAGGAGTTTAAAATGGCTTCAAGACCGAAAATGTGTGCATGTGATTGTACGTGGAGGTGCGGGGCGGCCTCCTTCCCAGGGCACACCTTCCCCCCCACATCTTCCGATGTACTGCACTCCCTCTCCCCTCCCCCACCAGTTGCTCCCAACCTCACTGCTACATAACCTAACTTGCGGGACCTGGGGGCGAGGGAATGCCCTCAGCGCCTCAAGCCACACTGTCTTCCTGAGCTCACCATTCACCGAGATCTAGCTCTGCGACGGGACGGGACTGCTGACCTAACGTAACGACAGCTGACCGTTGTGTTTGTTTAGAGACGGGTCTCCTTATTATGTTGCCCAGGATGGAGGCCAGAGGCTGTTCACAGGCACAGGCCACCGCTGGTCCACGTATGAATTTTGACCTGCTCAGTTTCCGGCCTGGGCAGCTGCACCCCTCCTTGGGCCACCTGGTGGCCTCTGGCATCTGAGAGGTTAACCAAAGAGACCGCACGCGACCTTACCCACACACCCCACCAGCAGAGCGCACTCCAGCCCAGAACTCCGGCGGCCAAGCGGTCCTCCTGGCCCAGCCACGGGGTAGCTGACTGCACGCTCGGCCACCAGGCCACGACAGCTATCAGTTTTAAGCACTGACGTGCCAGCAGTGCCATCAAATACACACGGTGCTCCCCCGTTAGGCCTGAAAAGCACCACATAAACCTTTGGGCCACGGGGGAAGTGAGGCCCAAGGGGCAACAGTCCCCTGCCCAAAGTCACACTGTTAGTGGGCAGTGGGCAGAGCCAGGATCTGAACCCCTAGGGTCTAATTGGAGCAGACGCTGATCATTGCTGCAGCCGCACGGCCTCCCAGCGGAACAGCTTTTCCCTGTGCCTTCTGCAGCCGGGAACAATCCGGATTACAGTTCCAGCTGAAACGATGAAAACTCACTTGCCCAAGCAAGGTTTGCTCAGGGCGATCAAGAAAATCCGACTGGGGAAGTAAGCGTCCGTGGTGTCCCAGTCTTCAGGGCCAACCAAACCAGATCAAAGCTCTGTCTCTCTCTCTCTCTCGCACCTATTCCCTCATCTCTCAAGCTCTCTGCGTAGATGCTGCAAGAGGCACATCTTCGCAGCTCTGCGGAAGCAGCTTCTGCCCCTGGCTGTGGATGTCCTGGGACAGGAGGGCCAGGGACCACTCGGACACCAAAAGATCTAGGGCCTGCTCCGGGGTGTGCATCTCAGGCCGAAGCCACCCACTGGTGGCAAAGCTCCAGGAGCCGCCTGACAGTTTCCCAGGGACCTAGCGGCAGGAGCCACAGAAACACAGGCGGGAGGCCACCAGTCTGTGCCATCGGTGGGGGGGTAGGGAAGGGGGGACATGGTAGCTCCTGGCTGTAGGCGCAGCAACTCCTGGGGTGTCACATCAGGAGCCCTTTCCCCTCCTGGGAGCCTAGGCAGGACGCCATGGTCAGGGTCCTAGACATCCTGACCCCAAAACCAGCAGCCACCGCCGGCAAAGACGCCTAGATCCCCTTGCGACAAGAAACAGTATGTGCAGGATACGCATGCCTCTGCCTCCCAGTCCCAGCCCACCAGCCCACCCCTGCCCTGGTGGAGCTGTCTCCAGTGCCCGGGCCTCTGTGGGTTCGGGGCGGTGGGGCGCCAGGCCCCTCGTCTCACTTCCGCCCACGTCTGGGAGGTACAGCCTCAGGCGGCTCTCTCCTCTCCGTCTGGGGACCACGGAGGACTAGGTCCTGGTCCCACGACGGAAGAACCAGCACTAAAGTCTGGCGTCCGACACCATTAGCACTAGCTGTGGATCAATGTGAAGACAACGTCTCCCAGGAACAGCATCGCCGCTGGCCTCTTGCCAACTCACCCAGGACTGAAACTGTGACTCCAGCACGGGGCCCACGAGGGACCAATCAGAGGACAAGAGACGCGCCACTGGGTGTACCCAAAGTCCCAGAAGCCCTCTGTTGGTGGCAGAAGGCGGAGAGGAGCACTCAGGGTAGCGAGGTCGAAGCTCCGGTCTTCGAGAGAAAGTAGAAAGGTAGCTCAAGGCCACTGTGACCCGAGAGACGAAGACCAGAGTCAAAAGCTCAGGAAAGCTTGTTAAAATGCGAATTCTCCAGCGCATGTAAGATAAGGTGAGTCAGGGTGTTGGGAAGGGGCCCAGAAATGTGAATTTTTACCGGGTTCTTCCAAGATATTCTTCCTGCAGAGGGGTTTGAGAATCAGTGACCCAGTCCTAACAGATTCAACAGAGGTGCCCACCGCTCTGATTTCTTTAGGGCTGCTGGGAGAGAAGCCCTCCCTAGGATCAGGAACCAGGAACGTCCCACCCAAGCCCTTGGGCTCCAGGAGCGCTTAAGACCGGAAACGGGAACCCTTCCATAGAGGCTGGAGGCCCAGAGGAGGCCAAGGAAGTGGCGACCCCTCCCACGTCAGCTTGCTTAGGGGGCCAGAAGGCGGGAGGGTGTTTCGGGGCCTTCTGGGAAATGTAGTCCGTACGACGGGCGCGCGCCTGCGCCCTACACAGCTGCCCCGGGGAGCCTGGGAGAGCCGTGGGCGCCGAGGCGGTGAGTCCCGGAGCGGCCAGAGGGCGTGGCCGTCCCTGGGGCGCGGGCGCGGGCGCGGGCGCGGGCGAAGGCGGCGGGCCTCCCGTACAGCTCGTGCTACGCCAACCGCCCACCGCCAGCTCAGACCCCGCGGCGTGTGCAGGGGCGAGCGGCGGGCCCCTGTCCGGCCAAGTCCCACCGCCGCTCCCTGCGACCCGGCCTTCCCGGGGTTGTTCGCGACCGGGAGCGCTCCTCGAGGCGGCGGGACATCCTGGGCGGGAGCGTGCCGGGCTCGTGCCCGCGCTCCAGGCAGCCGATTTGTGACTGGCTTTTAGACGTTCCCGCGACGTATCCCCCTCGCCTTTCTCCGAGTGCCCGCTCTGCAAACATCTCTTTATCCGTGGGCCGTGTGAGCGCGGGCTCGCTCAGGCGGGTGTGGGCAGAAGCCGTGAGTCCCGGGGTGCAGTGACGTTTCCGTGTGGAAGGGCGGATGGAGGGACAGCGGGACGGTCGGGGCCCTGGTGGACGCGGTGGAGGGTTCGGCGCGTCGGGGGAGGGCTACCGGCTGCGAGGCTGAGCGCGGTCAGGGCGGGTCCACGCCGCGGCCGCCCGGTTCCTGGATGCCCTCCAGCGACGGTTCGGTGCCTAGGCGGGAGATGTGGACGCTTTCTAGGAATGAGCCCTCGGGGGCAATAACCTTTCTTGAGTGTTTCCTCTGTGCCCCGCACGCTGCCGTTCGCTCCCATGCAGCTGGGTCGCACAGAGGCAGTTTTGTGAAATCGATTGTATGATTATTTTCTTTTTCTTTTTTTTAATGTTTTTTATTTATTTCTGAGAGAGAGAGAGACAGCGTGAGCAGGGGAAGGTTAGAGAAAGAGGGAGACCCAGAATCTGAAACAGGCTCCAGGCTCTCAGCAGGCTGTAGGCACAGAGCCGGACGCGGGGCTCGAACTCAGAAACCGTGAGATCATGACCTGAGCCGAAGTCGGATACTTAACCGTCTGAGCCACCCAGGCGCCCCTGATGCTATGATTATTTTCATGTTACAGCCGGAAGCGCTGGGTGTCAGGGTCACAAAGTGAGCAGGTTATCACACCTGGATGGTCTGTAGCTAAAGCCCAGCTTACCATCAAGATCAAGAGTGTTAGGGTCACAGTGTACATTTGGGAATTCTAGGTAGGAAGATCGTGAGTATTTTTTTCTTTGTCCCACTCCAGGGAAGGGGACAGATACATAAGGCATCTTGGCAAATGCAGAGAGAGGACCCATAGCCATAGGGTGGGTGCTGCTGTTGAGAGACGTCTGTGACTACGTGGGTGGCCTCAGACATTGCACTAAGAAGATTTGGCTGTTTTTAGACAGGTGCGTTGCAGAAATCTGTTCATTCTAACCTTGCCACCATTTCCCTTTGGCATTTACTGGGTGGCACGGGACAAATTTTTCAGTCCTCCTGAGCCTCAGTGTTCAGTTCCCTCATCTGAATTCAGGGCATAATACTAGTCCCTGCCTCCTAGCTCTGGATGAGGGCTACATGACCTAATATATGCAGGAGGCTGAGAACAGCACCTAGATTTGGCACCATGAATGTGATCGGTGTCTTTGGCGATTAATGCAGCGCTGATGGCTGATGGCCTGCCCTGTCGCAGTGTATTTTGCTCATGAGAAAGCCACCTGGCATGCCCTAGCAGGATGATGGTCACAGTGCTGTGGGCTGAAGTCCACACACTTTGGGTGGAGAAGAATCTTTAGCTAAGATGCCCGTGATTGAGGGCGACCAAGAGTTCCTATGGCACAAGGGCTTTCAGGGCTGCTCACTGCTGCTCCCCCATTTCTTCTGTGGCCTGTATATATTCAGAGACACAAAATAGCTTGTATTAGCCTGGCAGTGTAGTTACACAGCAGTGCATCTATGGTGGTTCATTTAAGGGAAGAGGTTCTTAGCTTCGGGTCAGTGGAATTCTGGAGCCAAACTGGCCAGTAGAACTTCCTACAACGATGTCCGTGGAGCACTTGAAATGTGACTAGTATGGATGAGAAACTGAATTTTCAGTTTCATGAATTTGAACTGAATCTACCACATGGGGACCTGTGACTGCTATAAGCAGCACAATTCTAGAGGGTCCGTGCATGGTGAGAACATTTTGTAAACTTTTGGAAAATGGATGCAGGATTAGATGCATACGTGTATTTTTCTAGGAAGTGATTCCCTGGCCTTCATTAGATTCTCAAAGTCACCAGAAAAGATTAAGGTCTGCTGCTTTAGGGCTTTGGTGCAATGTAAACAAGTTAAGGGAGATAAGTAATCACTGCTGTTTCTCCTTTCTTCTTTTGTCATGTCCCCAGCTGTGGGTGGCTCTCCCTTGACACAGGTACGCAAAGAAACATTGGCATCTGAGACTTCAGGCCCCAGAGAAATCGCACACGGCCAGAGGGGGCGATGGCTGTGGCCCTGGGTTGTGCAATCCAGGCTTCCTTGAATCAGGGGTCGGTGTTTCAAGACTATGACGCGGACTGTGAGGTCTTCCGCCAGCGCTTCAGGCAGTTCCAGTACAAAGAAGCAGCCGGGCCTCACGAAGCCTTCAACAAACTCTGGGAGCTGTGCTGTCAGTGGCTGAAGCCAAAGATGCGTTCAAAGGAACAAATCCTGGAGCTGCTGGTGTTGGAGCAGTTCCTCACCATTCTGCCCACGGAGATAGAGACCTGGGTGAGGGAACATTGCCCAGAGAATAGAGAAAGAGTTGTGTCGCTGATAGAAGACTTACAGAGAGAACTTGAGATACCAGAGCAGCAGGTGAGAAGAGTTTGGCATCTTGGCGGTTGGGCAGAAGGTAGCAGCAGAGACTGTCTGACACTAGATCAGACATTTCGCTTTGAGCCCCATGCTTTCCCTCCAAACGATTTCCATTTTGTCCTTATGCTGGAAGTGGCATATGGTTCAGTAATTCTCAACTATTAAACCCAGCTTCTATCCTAGAACAAATATTTGGTAATGTCTCTTCTGCTATCCTGAAATGAAATTTACATATAACATAACCTACTACACAGAATCAAAAGCAATACGATAGTAAGTGGTCAAGTGCAGCTCCTGGCCTGTTTTTATGCAGGCCATGAGCTAATGATGGTCATTACCTTTTTAAAAAGGTGTTGAATACAAGAAGTATAGGCAATAGACCAAGAGGACCCACAAAGTGTGAATTATTTAATACCTGACTATAAGAAGATGTCAACCCAGGTCAAGTGGGGTCTAGAAAGGATATCAAGGACAGGGAACGTAGTTTATCATAATGAAAGAAGCATTTGAACGCACTTCCTATTAGGGCATGATGGCGCAGAAGGCTTCCTGAAGTTGTCAAATGCCCGCATCTAAGCATAAAGTCACTGTCAAGGTGACAGCCGCCAGTGCGCACTGGGACAGCTCAAACACTGAGTGGCACTGCTGGTCATGTGAGTTTCCACAGTGGCAACAAGTCTTAGTAAATCTGAGCAATAAGGAATACGGTGGTTGTTTGATTTCCAAAGTAGGGCTTTCCTAGAAAATCCCTGTGGTGCTACCATATGCAGAACTAGGTTGTGTTTGTGTGCGCCACAGTGTGAAGTTCTTGACGGGTTCTTCTTACCCGGATGAAAGTTTGAGGCGCAGCTGCCACGTTGGCAGGGACCAGAACAGCTCTGCACTGTGAGCGGTACCTACTCCTGTCTCTGCCCACTGGGTTCAGCCGGCCACCTGCCATCACACCACCCCGTGGTGGTGGCGCTACTGTCCCCTGCTCAGAAGCACCTGGCACAGGGCAGAAGCTTTGGCAGAAGGGAGAAAGGGCTTCTAGTTGGGCTTTAGGTGCCCGGTGTCGTGCGTTGATGGGGCTCTGCGGTTAGCCTGACCGAACCAGAGCCTTCCAGACTTTCCTCCCCCCACCCCCCCCTTCCCAGGGTGTAAGGAACTCATGGTTCCCTTCCTTTCTCTGTCCCCTGGGTTTGGCTCCTGCACCAGATGTGATCTGCCTGTGGCCTCATCGTGCACTGCCCAGTGCGGTGGCCACCAGCCAAGCGTGGCTCTCGAGCACCAGAAATGTGGCTGGTCCAAATTGACGTGTGCTCTGAGTACAAACTGCTCCTCACATAGAAGACTTAGCATGGAAAATTAGGTGAATTATCTCATCAATAATTGTTTGTATTGATTACTTTCTGAAATCGTGGTATTTTAGCGACATTGGGTTAACTAAGGCATGTGATTAAAATTGACTTCATCTCTTCCTTCTTTTTTTATGTGGGTGCTGCAAAGTGAGAATGACACGAGTGGTGACGTTGTTGCTACCGGGTGTTGCTGGTCTAGACTTTAGAGTGATGGGCTCTGCCAATTCCCCCAGATCGATAGGCAGGAAATGCTCCTGGAAGAACTGGCACCAGTGGGAACGGCACACGTGCCACCGAACATCCACCTGGAGGCCCCCGCACTGCAAGTGATGGGACCCGCCCCCGAGGACCCAGAGGCAGAGCCTTGGCTCACACAGGCGGGGCTGCAGGAGCTGAGCTATGGTGCTGCCGAGGAGTGCCAGCCCTTCCTGGACCCCGGTAAGGCAGGGGCTTCGTGTCCTTCCTCAGCTGTGTATTTCGAGAGCCCAGGAGCTCTCCGGGTTTGGGGGGTGGGTCAGAAACGCCCATTACTGGGTGGAAGCGGAGCACTGTGATAAAGAGTGGGAGGAGGGACGTCTCTCTGGGAGTAGCCGGGAACAAAGCAAGATGCATCAGCTGGGATTAAAAACCCTTTAAGCTAATGATCCTGCTCAGGAAGCCTGTTTTTCCCTTTTCAGTTGTTTTTATTATAAAATACACATAACATAAAATTTACCATCTTAATCATTTTGACATGTATCGTCCAGTGGTATTGAATGCATTAATGTGAAACCGTTACTAACATCCATTTCCATAACTGTTTTCACCCAGTATAACTGAAACGTCACACTCATTTAAACAAATAATTGCCCATCTCTCCAGGCTCCCCTAGAACCACCATTCAGCTTTCTGTCTCTATGAATTTGACTGCTCTGTGTACCTCATATACATGGAATCATCCGATATTTGTCTTTCTGTGACTGGCTTATTTCACGTAGCAAAATGTCCTAAAGGTTCGTACATGTTGGAGCACATGGCAGTATTTCCATCCCAGTAAAGGCCACATAATATGCCATTGTATGTACCTACCGCATTTTATTTTCTGTAGATGTATACTTAGTTTTCTTCCATGTTTCAGCTGTTGTGAATAATGCTTCTTTGAACGTGGGTATGCAAGTATCTCTTTGAGACCCTCTTTTTCTTTTTAGTATAGAACTAGGTGGTGTTGCTGAATCATAGGGCAATTCCATTTTTAATCTTTTGAGAAACAGCCACACTGATTTCCACAGTGGTTGCACCTTTTTACGTTCCCATCAACAGTGCATAACTTTTCCAATTTCTCCACCTCCTCACCAACTCTTGTTATTTTCTGATTTGTGAAAGCAGCATTCCTAATGTGTGTGAGGTGATATTCATTGTAATTTGGAATTGCATTTCCCAAATGATTAGTGATAGGGAACATCTGTTCATGTTCTATTGACTATTTGTATATCTTCTTTGGAGACTGTACATTCAAATCCTTTGCATATTTCTTTTTCTTTAAGGTTTATTTATTTATTTTTTGAGAGAGAGAGAGAGAGAGAGCATGAGTGGGGGAGGGACAGAGAGAAGGAGAGACAGAGAATCCCAAGCAGGCTTCATGCTATCAGCACAGAGCCTGACCCCAGGCTCACAAACCACGAGATCACGACCTGAACCCAAACCAAGAGTCAGAGGCTTAACTGACTGAGCCACCCAGGCGCCCCACTTTTTTAAAAGTTTATTTATTTCCTGTGCACATTTCAAAAGCAGAATGTGTTTTGTTGTTGAATTTTAGAATTCTCTGTATATTCTAGATATCAATCCCTTATCGGATATAATTTGCAAATATTTTCCCCATTTGCCGGTTGCCTTTTTACTCTGTTGAAACTGTCTCGTGATGAATACATTTTTAAATTTGTCATGAAGTACCCCGTATCTACTTTTTTATTGCCTGTACTTTAGGTGTCATATCCAAGAAATCATTGGCAAATCCAGTGTCATGAAGCTTTCCCCTGTGTTTTCTTCTAAGAGTTTTGTAATTTTAGGTCCTGACTTTAGGTTTTTGATCCGTTTTGTGTTAATTTTTGCACGTGCTCTTATGTAAGGGTCTAATTTCTTTCATTTGAACCCGCACATCCAGTTTTTCCAGCACCATTTGTTGAAAAGAGTATTGTTTCTCCATTGAATGATCTTGGTATCATTGTTAAAAATCATTTCACCATATATATTAAGGTTTATTTGGGGCGCCTGGGTGGCTTAGTCGGTTAAGCGTCCGACTTTTGCTTGGGTCATGATCTCGCGGTTTGTGGGTTCGAGCTCCGTGTCGGGCTCTGTGCTGACTGCCAGCTCAGAGCCTGGAGCCTGTTTCAGAGTCTGTGACTCCCTCTCTCTCTGACCCTCCCCTGCTCACGCTGTCTCTCTCTCTCTCTCCTAGAAATAAATAAAAAACATTAAAAAAAAAAGGTTTATTTATGGGCTGTCTGTTCTTTTCCATTAATCTATGTGCCTGTCTTTTATGCCAGTTTCCAAACTGTTTTGATTATTGTTAGTTTCAGTAAGTTTTGAAATCAGGGAGTGTGAGTCCTCTAGCTTTGTTCTTCTTTTCCAAGATTTTTTTGGTCTGTTTGGGCATCCCTGTAGAGTCCACTTAAATTTTAGGTATAGGTTTTTCTGTTAATGCAAAAAAGTACCATTGGGATTTTGATAGAGATTGCATTGAATCTTTAGATCACTTTTGGTAGTATTGACATCTTAACAATATCAAGTCTCCCAATCAGTGAACATGGGATATTTTCCTTTACTTATATCTCCTTTCTTCATTTAAAAAAATTTTTAATGTTTATTTTTGAGAGAGAGAGAGATTGAGAGAGACAGAATGCAAGCAGGGGAGGGGCAGAGAGAGAGGGAGACACAGAATCAAAGCAGGCCCCAGGCTCTGAACTGTCGGCACAGAGCACGATGCGGAGCTTGAACTCACAAACCGTGAGATCATAACCTGAGCTGAAGTCAGATGCTCAATCGACTGAGCCACCCAGATGCCCCTATTTATATCTTCTTTAATTTCTTTTACCAATGCTTTGTCATTTTTATGGTTCAAGCCTTTCACGTACTTGTTTAATTCCTGAGTATTTTCTTCTTTCCGATGCTATTGTAAACTATTAACTGTTTTCATAATTTCCAGAATTGTTCATTGTTCATCATTAGTATGTAGAAATGGAACCGATGTTTGCATGTTCATTTTGTATCCTGGTGCTTTGCTGAATTCATTTATTTTTTTTTTTTTTTTTTTTTTTTTTTAATATATTTTTTTAATGTTTTATTTATTTCTAGGAGAGAGAGAGAGGCAGCGTGAGGAGGGGAGGGTCAGAGAGAGAGGGAGTCACAGACTGAAACAGGCTCCAGGCTCTGAGCTGGCAGTCAGCACAGAGCCCGACGCGGGGCTCGAACCCACGAACCGCGAGATCATGACCTAAGCGAAAGTCGGACGCTTAACCGACTAAGCCACCCAGGCGCCCCTGCTGAATTCATTTATTAATTTTAACAGTTTTTTAATGGAATCTTCAAGGTTTCTACATATTTTCTTGCCTAATTTATCTGGCTAGAAATTCCAGTACTGTGTTGAATAGAGTGGCCAAAGCAGGCATCTTTGCCTTCTACCTGAACTTAGAGGAAAAGCTTTCACCTTTTACCACTGAGTATGATGTTCCCTGTGCGTTTTTCATATATGGCTTTTATTATGTGGAGGTAATTTTCTTCCGTTCCTATTTTGTTGAGTGGTTTTTTGTTTTATCATGAAAGAATGTTGAATTTTGTCAGATGCTTCTTCCACATCATTTGAGATGATAAGTGTGTTTTTTCCCCTTCATTCTGTTAACATGGCATAGTACATTGACCAATTTTCATATGTTGAAACATCCTTGCATTCCAGAAGCAAATATCACTTGGTCATGTTATATAAATCCTTTTAATATGCTGCTGAATTCAATTTGCTAATATTTTGTTCAGGGTTTTTTGTATGAATGTTCATAAGGGATATTGGTGTGCCGTTTTCTTATAGTGTCTTTTCTGGCTTTGGTATCAGGGTGATGTTAGCCTCAGAGAATGAGGAAAGTGTTTCCTCCCTTTCATTTTTTTTTTTTTTTGAAAAGTTGGAGAAGGATTTGTATTAGTTCTTCTCTAAATGTTTGGTAGAATCCACCAGTGAAGCCATCAGGTCTAGGGCTTTTCTTTGTCAGGAGATTTTTGATTACTGCTTTTACTCTCCTTACTAGTTATAGGTCTATTCAGATCTTTCTGTTTCTTTATTATGTAGTCTTGGCAGGTTTTGTGTTTCTGATAATTTATCCATTTCATCTAGGTTATCCAACTTGTTTGTACAGTTGTTCATAGTACTCTCTTATAATTGCTTTTATTTATATAGAATCATTGGCGATATCCTCACTTTAATTTTAATTTTAACAATTTTTGCCTTCTTTCTCTTTGTCTTAGTTCATCTAGCTAAAGGTTTGTCAAGTTCATTAATCTTTTCAAAAAGTCAGTGTTTGGTTTCATTGATTTTCTCTATTGTCTTTCTAGTCTTTATTTTGTTTATCTCTGCCTAATCTTTATTGTTTCCTTCCTTCTGCTAGCTTTGGGCTTAGTGTTTTTCTTTTCTTCTTATTAGTTCCTTAAGTTGTAAAATTATGTTATTGTTTGGGGCTTTTTTTTGGTTTACTAATGTATTTATAGTTGTAAATTCCCTACTTAGCACTGCATTCATTATGTCTCATAAGTTTTGGTACTTTGCATTTGCATTGACCTCTAAGTGTTCTCTAATTTTCTTTGTGATTTCTTCTTGCATCCATCGGTTGTTTAACAGGGTGTTATTTAATTTTCACAAATTTGTCAGTTTTCCAGTTTTCCTTTTGTTCTGATTTCTAACTTCATCCCATTGTGGTTAGAGTAAGTACTTTGAATGATATCTATGTTTTTAAATATATATAGAAACTAATTTGTGACCTAGCATATGGTCTGCGTCCCAGAAACTGTCTCATATGCACTTGAGAAGAGCCTGACTTTTTTATTCCAACCATCTTAGTGGGTGTGAAGTGGTATCAAATTGCAGTTTTAACTTGTGTTTCTTCAAAGACTAATGGAGTTGAGCATCGTTTCATGGGCTTATTGGTCATTTGTAGATCTTCACTAGAGAAATGCCTATTTAGATTTTTTGCCTATTTTTATTTTTTTAAGTAGGCTTCACACTCATCGTGGGCCTTGAACTCACACCCCTGAGATCAAGAGTGGGATGCTCTACCAACTGAGCCAGCCAGGCACCCCTGCCTATTTTTAAGTTGGATTATATGTGTTTTTCTTATTAAGTTGTGTATGATCTTTGTATATTCTAGATAAAAGTCTATTATTAGATATATGACTGATAAATGTTCTTTCATGTTTTGTGA